CGTTCTTGAAGGTCGAAAATTCCCATGAAGAATAAACCTACAACTGCGTTTAGTTCATTGATTACTGAAATCTCAAGTCTCTCCTCCAGTTCGATATGCAATCAGCAGTACACTTAGTACTTGAGTCATTATTTTTCAAATCGTTGACCATGCTGTTTCTTTTGGTTATGGATTTGTTTCTTGTGTATGTAACATCCGAGCATTACAGTCATCGTAGGTTGAAAATGACCGTTCTTGAAGGTCGAAAACTCCCATGAAGAATAAACCTACAACTACGCTAAAGTACGAAAAAGTACCGCGAAGTACGTCGAAGTACATTGAAGTATACGCGATGTGCCGTGAAATACGAGAAAGTAGTCCCGAAGTTACTTGAAGTACTTGATAGTTCGCTCCAGTAGTTGAAGTATTTCAAAAATAATCAGAGCTGTTTTGAATCAAACCCAAACATGGTCAAAGACCATACAAACTCACTTCGTGTGTCAGAAAAGTATGAAAATCAGTTCAAAGAGAAATGAGAAACAAAGAGAACATCACACTCCATGCTTTATAGTAATGCGTAGCATGTCACGAGTGTGAGGCATAGGAAGAACTCCAACTGGTTTTTGCATCCTTCCATAGAACTACTGAAACAACTGACTCGCGCGCCGTGTGTGTTCACGATAGTCATGCTATGCATAATACCTATAGGAACGCAATCGGAGCAAAGGTCACTAGGGAGACTTCGCAAAGTTTCATGGGGAAACTTCTGCAAGCGTGGAGGAAAGATCTGCTGCTGTAAGGAAGTGTATAATATTAACTGATATTCATTCTTTTCCTGGCGGTGCCTTGTTTCATTGCCTACTTTCACAACGTATCATAGCTGATATTCTCTGGAATACCAGCACGCACACATGAGAAACTGGCTGTTATCTAGAGTCTATCATGAATCAGCAAGTATATAATGAGGGTTTGATGTGAGTACTTCTCATTTGCTCTTTTTGTCTTAAATCGATGAGTAGGTTCTTATTGACTGGTCTTCGCTAAGATTATGCTGGATGGTTGAAATCCATTAGATCGACAACTAGAGTCCCTGCCATCCGAAGAAAATCGAATATACCTTATTATGATCCAGGACTTTATCAACGAGTTTATCGGAAACCTAGTCACCTTCAATCAAGCACGAATTCTTACTCCACGAGTAATCTGGCATAATACTCCTGTGAATGTTTACAATTTTTGATCTGCAAGACTAAGTTCTCGAGGTTTCAAATCCTAGAAACGAGATATATACTTGAAGAGATAGCGATGTATATGAACAGACTGATTCGTTTTCGGCCAGTTCTACCTATCTGACAATCATGGTAAGCTGGTTTCTTATGGTCTTCTTCAAAGGAATCAGTTGGCTAAGTTTTTTATCGGAACTTAGTTCGAAATTAAAAATTCTATGGACTACTATTCATTCATTTCTGAACTAGAGAATACTTCAGGATATCTGGAATAATACCAACTAGCGACTAATGTCATAACAACTGCAGCAGGTAACTTACAGCAAAATCACCGCTGGATAGAGTAGATCTATCTATGGATAGAAGAAGAGGAAAAGCGCTCACTGGAAAAGCGATACTCGAGTACGGTTTTTGTCCATGTGATGGATCACTGTTCGCAGGACAGCGAAGCTGTCGTCGCTATTCTTCAGGATGTACTAAAACGGGTAAAGGATGAACATCAATCCATCGAGCGCGCATTGCTACGCGCAGATAATGCCGGCTGTTATCACTCGGCAGTTACTATTTTGGCCTTACGGCAAGTCTCCATTGAATCGAAAGTTGAAATTGAACGAATCGACTTTTCAGACCCTCAAGCGGGGAAGTCAGCATGTGATCGTTATGCATCTGTCATTAAAGGAAACGTTCGGCGTTATTTAAACGAAAAGCATAACGTAACGAACGCGGCTGAATTTGTCGAAGCCTGTCACTCGTACAATGGAGTGAAAGGTGTACAAGCGTTTGAATGTGACCTGCTGCGAAGCGAGAAAGAATCGACTGTAACTTTCCCGAAGATTACTTCGGTCAATAATTTCGGTTTCGAAAAGAATGGCATCCGTGTACATCGAGCCTGGAAAGTTGGCGGTGGAAAGTTAATTTCATGGAAAAATTTGAAATGTCCCAATATACTCGATGAGCTGGTCTTTCGGACTACCAATACAACATCGCACACCTGGGTTTACGGTGCAAAAAGTGAAACCAAAAAGGAATCCGCAAAGGCGACGTCCTCGGTTACTACCGCTGACATTACTGAAGTTCGGGAAGATGTGTCTCCTAACAAATTGTATGAATGTCCAGAAGAAGGATGCACTGCAGCATTCGCCAGAAATGGAAACCTAATCAATCACATTGCGAATGGAAAGCATCAGCGACGACCAGAACGGCATTCAATGCGAGATTATGCGATGCAGACGTATCATTCCAAATTGGAAGACATTGGGGAACGTCCTGTGATATCCATACTGCTTGAGGCCGAGTCACAGGATCATCTGTTCCATCGCAACGGCTACCACGTGGATTGGCTTTACCCAAGGAAAGAACTCAAACTCGTTTGAATCCCGTACAAATTCGTTATCTAACCGACAAATTCGATCAGGGCTTGAAAGAGAAAATCCGCTGGAAACCAGAAGAGGTGGCTGCTGAAATGCAGCAGAAAAAACGGCCAGATGGAAAGTTTCTATTTTCATCGGCTGAGTTCTTGAAAACCGGCCAGGTTAGATCATTTTTCTCGCGTCTCAAGAACACTCGAGGAAAACTAGGAGCTGTACAAGAAATTGACGAGGAAGATAATGAGGAATTCAAGGACGACCAAGTAATGACTGAAGTGACACAGAGATTCAGAATACGAGACGCTATGGGAACAAGGCAACCTCCGCCACAGCCGTCACCGTCTCTCCCATCGAGAAATCGACCGCTGTCGCCTGGTAAAAGACAAATACCTACCCCTGATATTCCTCTGAAACGCCGGTCCTCGTCAAGGAAAAGAAAAGAAAAATGAACAATTTCCAGCTAGATACGTAACAAATCGGTCCTACCTGGCTTGCTTTGTAATCAGGACTATCGATTTCCTATGAAAAGTGTGTTTTCGTTTATTCGAAATAAATTTTTTGGAAAAAACTGTCGTAGCGGTGGCGATGGTACAACTGATTGTAGCGAATTTTTCGGCATGAGGCCCAGGTCTTTGGACAAAGTTTTATATCTCATTTTGTAGAGAATTGAAAGCTCTACAAGATGTGATAAAGTCTAGACTACAATAACTTAACGGTCGAGAGATAATTACGTTTTATGCGAAGAATTTTACTTTTCAAAATCATGACTTTTCGCTTTATGTGAATTATAAAAATTCAGTTTCACGTCTAAAAAATGAAAAAGTAGCTTGGTCAATGCAGTTTTATATGCTCTTTCGAATGAGACATCGCTCGAACAGAATGAACAAAATTTGATGGAGTTATTTGCAAAATACTGGAGACGGTGCTTTTTCGAGAAATCTTCGAACGACTTCACGGGGCTTTTCTGTAACTCAGTCAAAATAAGGTCTGAAAGTTTAAAAATTTTTTCATTCCCACAGTTTCATGTGTAGAATCGAAGCCCCCAATAAAAAACATAGATTGTAAATTTTCAAGTGACCGCTTCGCTGGTGACCGCTTTCGCTGGCCTGGCAAATCCTCTCTTAATCGTTGGATTAAGGTCGATTCACATACGAATATCGAATGCCATTTACCTCAACTTATTCCTCTTGATTATATTGATCATATTTATATGTCACAGAATACATTCGATTCGTTAAATACTAATGCACGTAAAGTTATTGATACCATTTTTAAAAATCGTATTACTAAAACCTCACATCATATTGAACTAGATCAAAATGCAGGAAAGCATGGTCCAAAATCCGAATCAAAAGCTCGAGCAGAATATCAAGATTTTGTTGTAAATGAATTAATTGAAAAATTTAGTCAACATAACATTCAGTCAACGTCTAGACCTGTTCGAGGTACTGTTATAACGATTCCGTCAACTGATTTTACTGATCATTTTGTTTTACCTCTAACTATTTCACAAGCATATGAACAATATAAAATCGATCATCCACAAGTATCGGCTGATATGACAGTTTATATTTATTGGCAAGTCTTGAATGGAGATATGATGTTAACATTATCAAATGAAGCAATCGATACAGGAGAATCACAACTAAATCTACGTTGTTTAATATGCTATATTGCTGAAAAACTTTCAACAAAAGATATTGGCTATCATAAAAATGTTTCTTATTTACACAGCGGTGGACTGTTTCAACATGAAATTGTTCTCAAAGAGCAAAGATATTTAGCCGGATCAAATGCATTCTATGTTGGCTGTAATACCGATGATTTTATGACCTTTTGTCTTGAAATTCAACGTTCAACGTTGATGGGTGACGCAGTGATCTTTTTCTTAGAGATACGTCTCGGGGATAATATGATCCAAAAGTGATTCACTTTTTTAGAATTTTTCTTTTTCTTTTTCTTTTTGCGTTGTGTTCACTGTCCTTTTGCTTTCATATATGTGTCTTATGTCTCTTTGTGTATTGTCCTTTGCCATTGGGTTGTTAAATACTGTGTAATTTTATTATTACTTACATTTATCTTTTTAGTACCGTGTTTTTTCTACTTGTGTTTGTTCTTCGCCTAAACTTGTTCTCCAGAATTGGCAATCTGTCTGTCCTCCCATGAAATATATCACAAAGAATTGAGTTCTCAAATGCGCATAAGGGAAGAGCCACTTTGAAAGATTTTTCACATGGCTTTAACTACAGAATGACTTATTTCTACTTGGTCAGTGTGCAATAATTTTATTTATACTGTTGGAAGTTCATACAAAGAAATTGACAGTTGTTGTGACTAGTGTTGTTCTTCCCACATTATTTGTACAACGACATAATGATTATTAATCGTCAGAAAAACTGAAAACAATTTCAACAAGCGTTCTACTTATTTTAATGGACGAAAAAAAATTAAGAAGACAGTGGTCGGAGCAAATAAAGTAAGTTTTGACACAAAGAATCCGCTTCTCTTTCTTCTTCCTTTCTTAATTCTTCACAGAAAGAACAAGCAAAGAGTGCATGTGGGTTTCAGACGGAAGAAAAAAATTACATTTACTATATAATTCAAAAATAAACAAACAATTCTGAAAAAGTAAAAGGACGGGGGTAGTATTTTGGCAATTATCCTATATGGGCATAGTTTCAGAAAGCTTATTTATAGCTCATTTTGTAGCGTAGAGAATTCTCTATCTGTTTGTACATGACTTCTTGTCAAATGATTCTGAAATCATATGGAAACGTATCACGTGGAAATTATAAAAAATACTACTGCCGGTACTGAACTATTGGACTATAATTTCGACGAAACAAGAAAATTAATTATTTATTTAACGAATTGAGAATCCATCAAATTATAAAAAGGAAAATTTTAATTTCTGAAGAATTTTTCGAATATGATATATAGCCAACTACCTAATATTTTCGCCAAAATTACTGTTTTGGCCTTGGTTCGTTCATATCTCGACAACCAATTGATATAGAAACTTTTATTTTTCAGTACTAAATAACCATCTTTAAACAAACAAATCCTCAAAAAAATATTAAGTTTTGTTCCGCAGAACGACTTTTATAAGCAAAACAATCCGTGAACAGCAACAGTACAATGCCAATGCA